AGATAGAAATTATAATATATCTTATATAATAGTTCTAATACTTAATATTATAATATTATAAAACTCTAATTTCGAAGAGATTCGATAAAGTAATAAAGAAATAATAGCTATAAACGTATTTTACTATAAGATAATTATTTAATATTATATTTTCAAGCGAAGAAGAAATCGTAGAATAATGCGCTCTCATTAATTCGAGTATTTTTAAGTCGAATTAAGTCGTAATCTTTAATTCTTAAATTAATATTAAATAAGTTTCTTCTTAAAATACTATATCTATAGAATCGCTATAAGATATTAAATAATAATAGCGAAATCGAATAATAACGCGATATAGCTTCGAAAGATCTTTATAAATAGAATAATAAGAATAGCGTACTCGATAAGTCTTATATAAAGTAATTATTAAATAATAAGAGTCTAAGTAATCGATTTCTAGATATAAAAAAATAAGACCTTAGAAAGCTTTCTAAAGACTTCGAATAAATCTAAATTATTCAAAAATACGATATTCGATATTCGAGGTTTTATCGATCGTCTGTTAATATTATAAGTAAGGCATCTTCTATTATTTAAAATAGATATATATAAGCCTCCTATAAGCCTTCCTGCAAGCCTTTCTATAAACCTTTCTATAAGTCTTTCTATAGACCTTTCTATAAGCCTTTCTATAAGCCTTTCTATAAGCCTTTCTATAAGCCTTTCTATAAGCCTTCTTAATCTAAAATAGATATATATATATAAGCCTCGCTATATTAATCGATTACCGAGTAGTTAATTTAGAAGGCTAAGAAAAGAACTTAATTTATAGTCTTACTATAATAAAAAGTTATATTTCTCTTTCTTTCCCTCTATTAATAACTTTATTAATAGCTTTATTAAAGACTTTAAAGTCTTTCGAAGAGATTTTTAAAAAGAAATATCTAAAGATTATATTTAATAAGTATAATTAAGTTCTTTTAATTTATAAGAATAGCTTAGACTCTTAATAAAAAAAGCCTGCTACTAAATCAATTATATTATATTATAAAATTACTTCTTCTACTCTTAAACGATATATCGCTAATAATTATTCTTATTAAAAATCAATTAAAGATTAATAGCGATTAAGTTCTATAGAGAAGAAAGCTTTAAAGATATAAGTTTAATAAGTAATAAAGTAGAGTTAATCTTTTAGAGTTAATCTTATTTATTATATAGCTAATAAAATACTAGTAATAAAGAAAAATAAAGAAGAATTAGATATAAATTAAATAGTTAGTTTTATGAATCGTTATTTAGATTTATAGAGTCGATTTAGTTAGCCTTTAAATAAAGAATATATTATAACTTATAATATAGAAAAGCTACTATAATAGTTTTAGCTTATTAAGTCAGTAATTTAGAAATATAATATTTAGATAAAAGATATATATAATATAAATAAGAAAGAGACTACTCTTAATACTGCTAGTAAAGTATAAGTTATATACTCTAAGTATAATATATATATAGCTTAGAATAAGAGTAGAGAGTAAGCTACTCTTATCGAATATATATTCGCGAATAAAAGACTTCTTTCTTTATTTATTATCTTTAAAGATAAGATTTAGATAAAAGCTTAATTTAATATCTTAAAGAGAAAGGATTTAATTATTACGTTAACTAAAAATAGTTGAATAAATAACGTGTTAGACTTAAAGTAATTTATTAAATATATTTTATTTAATTCTTTTTATATAATTAGCTTTTAACTTATTCTTTATAAATACTTTAAACTATAAACTCGAAAAATACTAAAAGAAAAATATCGCCTTCTTATCTATAACGGGCATGTATTCTATATTAATATTAAAGTTATATAGTTTTATATTAATAACGATATCGTTCTCTTATATCTATCTATCTATATTATATATATTCTTTAATTATTAAATATCGAATTTTTTTAGCCTTTAGCGACTATATATTATAGATATTTAATAAAGAATATTATACTTAGAGATAACTACTTAATAGATAAGTTAGACTTTATTTAATTTATTTAAATAATAAGAATAAATACTATAAAGGAAATGACTATTAGATATATATAATAAAAGAGTAGACTATTTTTAATTCAGTTATAAATCGTTCTTAATAAATTAAAACTTAAGATATTAGAATTAAAGTCTATTACGTCTTTATCTTTAGAGATAATAATTATCGCATTTAATAATAACTCTTCATTTATATTCTTTACCTCGTTAAATATAAATTAAGTTAATTAGCTAGTTTAATAAATTAAGACTAAAAATATTAATTTAATATTATTAAAAAAGTTAAGAAAAGTATATAGTTTAGCGTTAGTAAATAATATATTACTTTAAATTATTAATGATGATCTTATTAAGATAGAGTAATAAAAAAAGAATAAGATTAAATATAAATAAGTATATTAAGACGAAAGATAAATTATAACTCTTAAGCTTATTTAGAAGCGATTAAATAATATAATTACTAAGAAATTTAAAAAGTAATTTCGAAGTATATATTATCTCGAACTAGCTATTTTTAAAGATATAAAGAGAGATAGAAGTTCTATTAAGAAAAAGACTATTATATCTTTTATATTAAACTTATTAATACTATTAAATCTTACTTTATTATAATAATAATAGTATAAGATAAATAAGAAGCTACTTCGTTATAGTAACGGGCTTTATTAAAGACTTTATTAGAGACTTTATTAAAGGCTTTATTAGATTTTATTATATTAAAATAAAAGAGATAAAAGTAATAAAGATAATAAAAGCGGTAGAAGAGATAAAAGAGTTAAAAGAGATAAAAGAGATAAGAAGATAGTAGAAGAGAAGATAGAAGAAGAGATAATAATAATTTTTTTAAGATATAATAGACCGATAAGGCTTAAAAAACGATAATTTAGATTCTCCGATATTAAGCCTTAATAGAAATAAAAGATCATCATTATTATACTAGTTTACCATATAAATTTGGTGAAAGATAGGCATTTTGGTGTTGCGTCGGATTTATCGGATTTTAGAGCGTGCAAATAAGGGTAACGTGCAAATGGGGGTGGAAACGAGTACTGGGAAGCCCGCGCCCCAGCACATAATACTGTATTGCCGCTAATGGGTAAATTACAAAACCTTGGCAAATACGATGTCGCGCCGAAACGCGACTGCCAAGCTCAACACCAAAACTTTGACACGAAAGTCTCATCTGTAGCCATGCCAGCCATGCCAGCAACCGATCCACTCCAGCTGGCCGACCAAGAGCTCGCCGAATGTGGCGTCATTTCGTCTGATTCCTAGTTTTGTCTATCCAGCCTCGTCACTGATGCCTCAATCGTCCTTAACAAGGACTTGCTCTTTACCAATTCGCAGACCACGCCATCCCCCAATGTGTCCAACGTCACCTATGGTATGCGAAATCGCCAGCCTCGTTTCCCCTTCCTCTCCACTCCATGCAACGGGCTCTCCACTCCAGCAGGCATCAAAAACGTCACGAATATCTCGGCAAATTACCGTGCCAACGTCAAGCCCTCTGGAATGCCCGGACAAGGTTTTATATCACGATGCTGTAGAAAAAATGTTGAGCTTATGCTACTCAATATATTGTAGACGGGCGGTCATCACGATCAAGGTCCCGAGATCTTTGCTCGTGAACCCTCAAGAGAAGTACCGGCCGAACTCATCGGCATTGCACATCACGATACCGCTACAACTGACTTAGGATTCAGAGCCCGATTTCCACCGCCTGAGGCCTCTAAGTTGCTGGTGCTGTATCTGGCCTGCATCTTCTCTTTTCTACGAAGTCTCAATTGAGATGACCTTTATGGATCGAGCGAACTTCTCTTTGCGCACCCTGTCGGTGTCTGGCATACCGCAATGTATCATCACATCTTGGGCAAGAGGGACCAAGGCGCGTTTAGAAAGTTGGACCTGAAAATGGGCGATAAGGTGATTTGCAACGTTCGAGCTTGGTTGCCGGTTTGTAACAGGACATTGCAGGAATCGCGTCGCTGGAGTTGAAGATGGAAAGAGTCTGGACGCGACGATAGACTGCGGGGTACTGGACGTCTTTTCCCAAACTGTGAACTTGCATTAGCGAATGAGATAATTCTTGCGCTATGTTTCAAATCTTGTGCTTCGAGGGAAGCAAATCACGTGTCGGTTTTATTACCAAGCTTGATGAAGAAGTCGACGACAAGATTCGAGTAATCTCCCTCACAACTTGATCGTCGCAGACTTTATTCTCACATCCATTGGGATAGGAGCTGAAGAATTCAAACCCCTACGGTCAAGCAGATCGGTCTTTTTGGTCTTTTTTCCCCATTTTGGCACCTTTCCGTGGGCCTCAGCCAGAAAAAGTTGACTGTTTTTCTCAAGCAACCCAGAAAAAAAGACTGTTCGGAGCTGAATAAATAGTATTCCCTCACTAATAAAGGCGATAGTTGGGAATTCGTTTGGTTACAATTGTCACCTTTCCTGGGAGACTGCCGAAGAAATCTAGAAAGTTGAGATTCCTTCTATGCATGACTTTTGCCACAGTCTCTTACAACCTGTCAAGACCAAGCACTTGAGGCCCTTGATGCAGTACGATGGGCGTTGTCTAGACCCAAGGTCATAGACTTTTGTATTCTTGCCTCAAAGGGAGTTAGACATTGCACAATGTTCGGATGAAAGAAGGTTTCAACCCTAGCGCCCACGAACAACGCATTTTCAATTATGAAAGAAAGCCCAACAAAGAACTATCTCCAGAGAAAGGCGACTGTTCGGACAAAGGCCATTGCCACAGCTACTGAGGATAAAAATTCTAAGCTACCAAGATCGATCTTGGAATCCTAGGCATCTTTGAATACATTCAAGAAACGCTGGTCTGATGTTCTGTATCAACGCAACCTGTCTCTTCGGCCTGAGCATTCGAGCATCGCCGACAAGGTCTCCCACTGGTAGGCAGGACCTACGGCTCACAGCTTAGCTTCCGTGGGAACCATGCAATCAGAAGCGACACCGAGTATGGACAATACACCCCCAAAAGATTGCAATCAATCGCAACATGAAGTGGAGAATGTAAAGTCCGCAACCACCAGCCTACCAGCAACGCCATCGAGTTTGGGAGACATTCCCGCAGAGGAACCCAGCCAAAGGCAACCTGGAGCGGAAGATGTCTCGGCAATTTCCGCCTGCCCACCACCAATGCCATCAGTTTTGGGGGATATGCCCGCAGAAGACGGCAAGGAGAGACAGTTTGACATTGACAATGCTAGTATGGCTGGATCACTAAACCCCGCAACGATGCCAATGACGGGGCTCACGCCGCAAGAAGTTGACCATCTCGAAGATGCTCAATGCGAATGCCGTGACTTCGAGGATGCAAGGAGATCCAGATCGCTCCCAATTTTGACAATCGAGGTAGGCAAGGCCGATAGCATTGATAGCCAGAAGACTTTAACAGATGATGTGTGGATTCCTCAAACTCCCTCACCCGAAAAGTACACCGGCTGGTACTCGCCTCCCCCTCCATCCCCGCCATTGGATCTCTCGTCGACGACACAGCATCACCTCTGCATCTGGTTCCTTTCTCAAGTGGAGCAATCTTTCTACGGTAAGGCCGAGGCAGAATTCCAAAATGACTTGGAATCGCTCAAGTGGAAGCAGGATCTCTTCAAGAAGAATCCCCATCAATACTCCGAGTCGTATCTTAACAAGAAAAGCGAGAAGTACGCCGAGTCGGAACTGATTGAAAAACCTTGGCATCTGCCAGATCGGATTGAGCCTGAATACTGGGTTGAGTTTTTTAAGTATGCGGGCAAGCTTTTGCCGTGCGATGCGTACGATTTACCGGCTGATATGTCCAGATCCTTGATCCCGTATATTTTTGAAAAAGCTGACACACTCAGACATATCACGAACCATCGCGACCGGACTCTGTATCTGTGGACTTTGACTGAGGTCATGAAGATACCGCGCATACTGAAGGATTACCAGAGGGCTGATGAGATGAATCTGGTTTTCAGAGTGGTACGCGAAGATCCTTCGGTGGATGAATATTCCAGGTCAGTGGTTCAGAAATTCGTCCTTACTGCTGACAAACCCTGCACGACTTATTTACAGATATCCCTGCGCGTTGAAAGCTTAATGGAAGAAGGTATCTTCCGATACGCCAAACGAGAGAATCCGGAATTCCTGAAAGAGAAAGGTTGGTGCGTACCAGAAGACGCCGATCTGCGGGACTGGTTCTGGGCTTGGACGAGTCCTCCCTTCCAGCCGGCTTTCGATCGAGATGGTGAGAATCTCGCTCTGACGGACGTGGACGGACGGCTTTTCTCTCAACATGATCTCCGGAACCAGGTTCTCGACGGGGCGCGAGATCTACGCAGCAGTACGGCCCACCGTGACGAACTTGATGAATGGAGCTTGCGAGCGGACGCCTGGAACGGCATTCTCTTAATGAAACTCTGTGACGATCAAGAGCAGGCAGTTCTCATTGAAGCGTACGCGGAGGCTTTCCTGACTGAGCGATCGATCTTGGACGTACTTTCTCGTCTCGAAAAGGACTCTGCCAACGACGACTCCGTCAGACGTGATGCCATTGTCCGAGTCAATGAGTGGTCGTCTAGCGGATGCGACCCTTACGCGAAGCAGATATTCTACGCCCGCAAACGAGTTCGAGCTAATGGCACATTGTTGAAGCAGGGCCGATGGTGGGACGTGGACCACCATAATGGCGAGAGCTCGACATGTCAAATGATATCCAGTGGCTCTCGCAAAGCTCAAAGGCCCCGACGAGACAGCGACGAGCTCTGCGCGCTGCATCAATCAGCCGTCGAAGCGTTCGTCTTTGCTGATTCAATGCATCCGGCTCTGAAGTTAAGTATGGAGGACCCGTCGGAGGTCACAGACAGAGAGGGGATAGCGGATGATGATGTTCCTCCTGAGACTGAGCCTGTGGGTGCTGACCTGCAACAGGAAGAGGAAAATCCTGTTGAAGAGACTGTTGAAGAGACGGTCGAAGAAGCGGGGGCTAGGTTGTGGGGGACAACGGATTCGACAACGGAGATTCAATACCAGGATGATGGGGGTTGGCAGCAATTCGAGGATCCGGCGGGGAGTGAGCAATGCAGGAATTGTCGGTCGTGTAGGGAAGGCGACTGCAAGGTATGTTGTCTTTGTAAGACTTGGCTAATTCCGGAGGTAGATTAGTCTGGGTTCTGGCACTTTGAATGGAAAACTTCATGTAGGGATTGGTGACGGAAGGATGATATGATACTCGTCGTATGCCTTGCTCTCTTGATCTTTGATTTCCCGTCTGTAGAATGTTGTGGCTATGACTCGCAAAAAGAACAGAACGAAGTATAGGGGTGGCTGTTCTGGCTCCTCGCAAATAGTTTCGTCCGCTCCGAGCGTCGATCCTGCCGTTTCCATCTCTACTCTCTTTACACTCTTCTGTATCGCGGGCGTCCGCTTCGTAGTCTTCTGCTTATGTCTCAGAGCTCTGTATCTTGGTCCTCTCTGTCCAGGAGATTTGTGTCCCTTGGCTTTGTGTCTCGGGGCTTGCTGGCTCAAGAGTCTCTCGATCTCTCCTTTTCCGCTCCGGCAGTCATGTTATTCCGAGATTCTGCGGCTCGTACAGCCAGGAGAACGGCGGATTGAAAAGGGTATGCTACGGCAATCTAGCATCTCATTGTTGAAATGAGAAATGGCATACCCCATGAATCTAGATCTTAGAATGGTAGAGCTTTACTCAGTTAACACACGATACAACATTACTGAGGCCAACGGCCTTTGCGCCACGCAACTCTGAAAATCAAACCAGATTCCGTCGCCAGAAACTAACGCGTTCGACATTTAAGAAGCTGCACTGAACTCTCAACACGACCCACCAATGCAAGGCGCACAGACACCATGAGTACATACATCCGAGCCAAAGCAGTCGTTGAAAGTATGACATGGATCACCGAGGCAGTGACCTTTCCAGGTACACGACGTCGACGCCGAAGCTGATGATGATGCGGCACTTGACACAGTTGCGAGGGTGGCAGGCGGAAATGTGTTTGGTGCTTTTGAGGAAGCAGATGATACAGGTGCTGGGGATCCGCCTTTACTGCCGCCGGCGCAGAGGCTTGAAGAGTCAGAGATAGAGTATGTCGTCGTGTGACATTGGTTCGATGGTTGGTCGTATAATGGTGTGGCTATGGCGTATGATTAGTGTACAAACTGGATTGCGGGCGCAGTGGGGTACATACTGTCCACAGGAAGACTCTTCGGTGGATCAAGGATAATCGTCTGCGACCCTCCAGGCAAATTGTCTTCGCAATTGATCTGGTCCTGACCACCACCAGCAGTGTTTGATCCAGTCCATAGGTCAATGTGGTATTCCCCCTTCGAGTCCCAATCGGTTACTAGACGATTGTAAGTGTTCGTCAGAAACCCTGATCTAAGTTGTAAATCTGGCCATCACGTACGGCACTGAGCGCAGTCGTCTTCATTGCGGAAGTACTTGTGCAAGAGAGGGACGTAGACGACGGCGCATTCTGGCAGGTTTCTATTATTGGTGGCAGTTGCGAAGGAGATAGGATCATCGTAGGTTCCGCTACCTGTTATTAGGAATGTCATTAGATATATAAGAGCACTAGGAAGATTTGGCAAGCTTTCGTACCTCCAGCCATAGGGTTCCCATCCGCATTTTTACCACGTCCGCAGTCAAATGCATTGTCCGATCCAGGAGGCGAATTGTCTGGCCAGCCGTAAAAGGTAAGGGTCACATCGTCGATGGGGCCACATGATGCTAGAGTCGATGGCAAGGCTATGAGGACATAGGCCAAAGCTAGTATAACGAACATACTGCGTATAGGTTTGAAAAGAGACATAAGAAGGATCAGAGGGCAGCAAAAGAGTTCAGGAAAGGGCGAGGACGAAAGTGAGGAGGCACCGGAGAAAGGCGGTGACGGTAAGCCCTTGTTATATATCCGTTCTCAATACGCGTCATCATCACGTCTTCCCACCATGAATCGCGAGGCCAGGTAGGACCGAATATGTTCGAATGCAGCATCTGAAACATGACGCCCAAGAGACACAAGTAAGAGTTTCGGTGGGAGCGCGCGGGCGCGCGGGAAATGCAATGTATCTCGGGGTTGCCAAGAAGAAAGGTGAGAGAGAAAAGGAGAATCTGAGCGACACAGTGTTTCTCAAACACCGGAGGCAAAGCACGTAGGTCCGTGGATTGGGGGCCATTCTGATTCAAACGTCCCCCTCTAACAGTCAGCTTATGACGACTGTTGAAATCTTATCGAGTTGAGGCACACCGGTCATCGAAAGGTGCATCCTTTGTTTCAGTGCATTGCGCACAGCTGCCTATATGTGGAATGTGATGAGGTCGATTGTTGAGTAATGACCTTTTGGGGGCAGTGACCCTAGAAGCCTGGCGGCGGCACGGTCCTGCACGAAACGTCGAAACACACATCGGGAGATCTACCCTCCCACCCCAAAAGCAAAGGAAAGCATAATGCGAGTAACAATCTTCATTCTGCAGCAGGATAAAGGCCCTCATATGCGTTAGGTCTCCTTTTTTTTCACTCTCGTTTCCCTTCGGAGCGATAGAATTTTCCCTTGCTTCGCTCTTGCTTCAATGGATTACTCACTCCGACCATCCCAGTGTTTAATCTTTGTCTGTCTCGCAAGATCTCGTTAGAAGCAGTTCGTTGACAACCTTCTGCTCCAACTTCGAGATGATTAATACTGAGGTCGATCCCCTGCAGCGACCGGCTACCCGCCATGTGCAATACAACCATGGAACGTTTCCAGGGCCTCGGTCTGGAAGCAGCAAGGCTGATGTATCCCGGTCGAGGTATTTCGCCATGAGTCGGGCCTAGCAGCGACGGTCAGCTCTCTGCCTGCCAACTTCCACAACCGTTGTTTGGCTATGGTAGTAGGAGACCATGCCCGTCAGCTGTAGTCCCATTATAGTATTTCGCCCTCCTGTGGGGCCGATCGCAACAACCGTCTCTTCATTAGTATATGATCAGGGATTTTCGCCACTTCTCGCCAGCCTGACTTGACATTTCTGTCGAATGACCACAACCGAAATTCCGTATTTACCCTGTCTGCTAAAACCTTTAGAGCTCATCTCAAACCTTCCCAGTAGGGTATCAGATCCACCCAATCTCGATTTATCGTACAAACTATTTTCGTCCCTTTTATTTGAAACGCTGTAAGATGCACGTCGTGACAGTATACCGACAGCGAGGGTGGCATTGGTATTTGCACATCTTTAGGCTTGTTCATCGCCAGCATCTGTCGCAGCTGATTAAGCCCTGCTGCAATACAAGTCCCTCACTAATCATCCGCGGTCCCGCCTCCCACTGAAGGGCATCTTCGTCTCAACGTTGATTACGATAAGACGCATGCGTAGTCGCCCAAACATCGTCCGCTTCACATATTGAGCATCTTTATTGTCTGAGCAGAGAATTGTTCGTATTCCTATCTCATTCCTGGGGTCTGGCTGTATATAAATCGCAAAGTCCACCATCTTCTCTTCCATCTTCATGCCGCTCGCGTGGGGCATGGCTAACGACGTGGGTTGGATGCAGGCGGTTGTGCTGAGAGTGATCAGTAAAATCCTGTAAACGCATGCGGAACTTTACATGTTCGTGCATCACATCACGCCCATGTATTTTGGTTACCCACCAAAACCAAGAGTTGATCGTTGACCTTGTCTTTCCGGGCCGCTCCCGAGAATCCTCAGTTCTCGCACTCCTCTGCGTCCTTGTAGGTTTGCAACGCTCCTGCGCCAACTTGCGCTCATGTGCCTGTAATTATGTTTCGATGCAACCTGAAGCGTATACATGAGCCTGATGCCAGTCGTGTCCATGTAGATATGTCGCAGAACCTTGATATCTCAGCTTCACACCAAAATGCCATTGTAGAGTAGCCGTACTTGAGCGAAATAGGTATCACTCCTATCCCTTAGCTGATAGAGCTCAATTCTTCACATCTGCCCAGTACGCCTCCAGCTTCCTCTACTGTCCTGCCACCAAGAGCCTTGGACACTGTGGATCTTTCCGCAATTTGCGATTCCGCTAGGTGTTGACAAGACTAGCCGATCGAGGGATGGACAAGCCATTCGAGCAAGTACTCGCAGCACTCGTAGATGATCTGCCTGATGGTGATGCGGCATTAGTCGGATCGGATCTCTTGTAGACAGGCGGCGGAAGCATCACTGCCATTTGTATACCTGGTCGTACGGGCTGCATGCCTGAGTGTATCGGCCCTGAGATCATGAAGTCTCTTGAACTAGCTCTTCGTGAGTGGCTTGCGCTCGCTCATTCGTGAGCTTAGTGGGGTTGTAGGAGGCTGTCTTCTAGGAGAGCACAATCTCTTGTCTGCTTCAGAGTGAGGCGCCATCATCTTCGGCTCGCAACCTTAAGAGCTCTTACTTCCTGACTCGTAGCACTTGCCTTCTTCACGCGACTTGGGGAAGCCATCGATTTGGCCACAGCGGTGTTTCCCTCGAATTTGTTGACTCTGCTGCGGCAAGCTCGGCTTAAGACTTGGAATGCAGATACGCACTCGGTCTTGGCAAGGACATCTCGGTGAGATAGCTCAGCGAGATGCATTGCCATACAGGCCGATGCTGGTGTTGGGTGATGAGTGAAGTATTTGGTGGCAAATATCGGAAGATTTCTGATGAGTAATCACTTCATTGGCCGGACAACACTAGCATAAAGGGAAAGTGAAGATAGGTACAACAGTACGAGTCATGCCGCTTTTTTTTGTCCAAAAATGACTGCTGCTAGACAGTCTGGAAGCACATATTTGAGTGATGATCTCGGAGGAAACGCGTATGGCTGGCCATTGAATGTCTCATCCAGCTCACTGATCGACATACAAATATGTGAAGCTCCAGGTGAAATCATGTCGTGCTGCTGCCTCCTGGACAGATCAGTCTACTCGGACACCAAGGAGCAGATTTCGAAGCAAATTTGTTCTACACTGGGACAACATTTCGTGGGTCTTGGCGCTCTGGGCATAAAGTACCCAATCTTTTATTGAGAAGGTTTGAAGGTCGATAAAATGTATTTAGGACGTCTTGCGAGCTCAGGCGGCGGATGTATGCTAATGTAAACCAGCCCACTATATGCCGCCCACTTGAGCAATGTCTTGCGGTGTTTGATCCAGGCTTGCTCTTTACCGCACCCAGGTGCTGCCAGGTGCAAAAGACTGTGCCAGGCAAAAATCTATGCGGGTATCCTCTGCCTCTGTTGAAGAAATTTGGTGCGCTGGCTGTCATCTCGATGGAATGAAAACGTTCATAGATTAAGCACCGGTTCGTTCCGAGCCCGACCCAGCACTGGTATAGCCTGCAACCCTTCCCACGGCTGGCATGTACCATGACTCCCAAATGTACGCTGAAGCTGTTGAAGCGGCGTGTTCCCCCTCTTTTCATGCCTTTTCTTCTCAGGGAGAATCGGGTGGGGTTATGAGGACGCGTGCGCTTGCTGTTATCTCTGCGGCCCTTCTTGCTGCGATATCCGCAACTGGAAGAATGTCAGTCCAGCGCGTTGGTCCCTCAAACGCAGCACATCGGCTGGAGCACCCACTCACCGCATCTGGGACAATGTTCCGGTCGCCTCTCATCGTGATATCTCTGGCCCTTGCAGCCGCCGTAATTTCTTCCAGCGCAAGGAGCTATACCCTGTGGTGAGTCGTGGCCGCACTCATACTGGAGTCTCAGGATTCTGCACATGGCCGCGACCTAGGAAGCCCGTATTCGGGCTCGTACATCTTGGAATATGTTCTTTCGGAGCAAGCGACAGGGTCGAGGGGGTTGAGGTTGAAACGGGTATCCGCATGAGAGACACGGTCCTCATGACGAGTCATATCCTTGTCCGAGGAGTACCCTCGCTTTCCACCACTCAGATAAGAGGCTAATGTCTCTAACCTAAACATCACTAGCTGTATATACGCGTGGGGTGAGGCTGGCCGTTTGCGTGGGGAATTAAGGATTTCACAAGTATCTTCTCTCTCTTGAGGCATGCAGATCATTCGTGCATTTCCCCCCCTTTCGCATGCCGATTGGTTGCCAACTTTTCTGCAGGAGTCTTACAAATTTGGTCCGCGAAAGCGACCACCTGGGCACACATTTCAGACGATTTTTTTGATTGGCCAAAGGCTACCCTCGGTTGAGGCATTTGAAATAATGGTGTTAAGAGATCCTATGCTTTCGCTGCACGCCATGGCCCCTTGAAGGTCTGAGGGCCGGGGGAGGACTTCCGATGCATTGCAGTAGGCTTATCTTACTGCGGGAGTGTAATACCTGCAGACGTTTGTACCTCCGAAACGTAAAGATGGATGCCTAATTGAAGCTCGAGATTCAATCTTCAATGAGACGCAAGATGAGACAAATCGGAGGCTTTCGAGAGGCCAAGAGGTGCAGGTCAGGTTGCAGCGCATAGAGCTGCTGTACAAAGGAAGTTTCTCAGTTCCGATCCGCGGCGCTTGTTTGATAAGCATCATGCAGTATGCAGGCAAACAGATCGAGATTATGGATGATATGAACTCCTAACAAGAAGGCCAAAGCGAGCTTCCCGAGGTGGTCACAAGCTGGGATGTTTCTAGCTAGTGCGGGAATATATATGCAGTGTGCGGGAATTTGTATGCAGTATGACATACTCCGTACCAAAGCCCGGAAAAAGAAGAGGGAAAAGAGGGACAACGGCTGTGATCTTGCTCAGCGCGCTTAACAGGTTAATTCGCGGACGAGCAGCTACTTCCGCGCTGCAACATGTCAGATGACGGGAGACGAGCGCCCTTCAACGGTTTGGGTACTCAATCATTCAGGTAA